CGACCTTGGCGACCAGCTGCAGGCCAGACAGCCTCTAAAATTGAAAGGTGGAGAATCGGAAGCTCTACTGGCTGAAGACTCAACGTAAACTCAAAAAAGAGCTTGCAACTCAGTTCAGAGTCACCCAAATAGCCATTTCTGAGCGTTTTCACCAATTAAAAATATTTAAAACTTGGATGTGTTGGACGTAGGAACACTTGAAGTTCTTGTGAAAAATTGTGATGGGTGACTAAAAGTATGCGTTTTACGAGGTGCACAAGCGTACAAATGTGTCGTGGGTAGATACCGGACAACCCAGAACATCGACGCCGAAGAAGGGCATCCACTTAAAAAAGTATGCTCTCCTGTGTATCCGGTGGGACATTAATGATGCACTCTATTACAAAACTCCTGGAAACTGGTCGTCAGACGGTGACTGCGGAACGCCACAACCGACAATTGGACAAACAGAGCGAAGAGGCCAGAGATCAGGAAAGGCCGTTTACTGGGCAAGCAAGCAGACATGGCATACTGCTGCTGCATGACAACGCTCAACTCAGAAGGCCCTCTTGAACTTGGAATGGGAAGTTCTCCGACACCCGGCGTATTCACCAGACTTGGCCCCATCCGACCACCATTTGTTCGAATCAATGGAGCATCACGCCTTAGTGAATAGACAGTTCAAAGCGTGGGACGATGTTCGCAATAAATGCGTCGACGACTTCATTGTCTCGAAGCCTGCAAGTTTGTTTGGTGACGACATTCTTGCGTTACCTGAGAGATGGCGCAAGGTCACAGGAAACGATGGGCAATATTTGCATGTTTAAGTACATTGTTATATATATATATGTTTATATTAGGTAAATTTGCTGAAAAATCTGCGCAAATTAAGTCATAAACCAACAACCGGAATTGATTTTAAAACTCCGCAATGGGATTATTGCCAGACAATTCGTATTCCCCTTCTTCTGACTGCTTCATTTTCGGTTGGAGGCGTGTCGTTTCCGCTGTCGGCACAGCGTTGCCGCGATGGACTTTGAATGACAGAACCTGTCGCGATGATGGACAATGGCGCCATCCATCATCCTGCCTTCCTTCGCCGACGACAAATGGTTAATTTTTTGTCTGCTCACAAAATCCTTCTTCTGATTGGTGATTTTGCTGAGTATTCGGCCAACCGGGGCTACTTTTTGGTAAAATGGAAAATAAGAAGTTAAGGATGCTGGTTTACGTGCCTCATTTAACAAACGCGATGAAAATGTTGACAGATCAATATTGATTTTATCTGCTCCCTCCGATCAGACTTGGCTCTATCGATCGATGACAATGAGTTGGAAAATCGATAGCAATGCATTCAAAGTTCTGCCTGTTAAAGTTGAAATTGCCCATCTCAAGTCACCATTCCCAAATACTGCTGATGGCTGAGATCACGCGACCACGAGAGTCCGTAAATTTATGAAAAAAAAATTGCTGCTTTGGAAATTTCGTAAAATGCGCCAGCACACAGGCCGACTTTTGAATTTGAACTCACGAAATGTGACCTGTGGACAAATAAATCAATGATTCGACAGCTCAGTAGTCAGGTGTGAATTTTAAAATTGGGATTAAAAATGGGGCAAATGGGGCAGGAATTTCGAAAAAGTCGAATTTGACTGAGTGCAGGCTGGTCGGATTTTAGAAAATGCCAAATTTTCTTTTTAGGAAAAGTTAGCTAAAATTGCGGAAAATGATTAAAATGGAAGAGAATCAGGCTGATCATTAATAGACTGACACTCCAACAATGTCAATAATAATATTCATGATTGGTAAGTATAGGTGATAAGGACGAATCACGTGTAACCAATGTTAACCAATCACAATTCAGTCACTGAGTAGAATTCAGTTTGGTTTTTTAAACAATAATTTGAAGTGAAATCACGCTGGCACTCACATGGTCAAAACATATCCTGCGCTTTAATCACACATCAACACGATCGATGATGACAAAAAAGTAATATCCAATCACATTTCACCCCAGCCTGTAGCGAATCAACAGCGATCGCGCCTGAGTGAACTCCGTTCACTGACCTGACGGTGACAATGACTCATCCCCTTTTCATTGGCTACTGTTGTCAGACGCCTGTCATCCGTTCACTCATCCACACACTTGGGTGGCGTGACGCTAATGAACGGTGCTGTCCTCTCTTGCCTCTTCTTCCGCTTTTCTCGAACTGTTACGGGCTGTTAACTAGAGGGTTGTAAGGTAGTGCTTAGACCACAAGCCACTACAAGCCCTTCGACCGATATCATTTTGGTCACCGAAAGATTAAGATCCAACAAGTTTCTGGTGGGGGAATAAAAATGTGGAAAAAAAACAAGTATTTGTGGCAAAATCTGAAGATTGAAAAACGCGATTGTTTAAAATATCGCCAGTGCGTTTTAAACAAGGCTGGCACACTAGAGAATGCGACGCAGTGTAAACAGACAGTC